TGCGGGCCGCTCCAAGCAACAGCCTGGTGGACCATACACTCAGAAGTCAAGCCTGGTTATGGGTTTCGCTTGTGGAGAAAAATAACAACTCCCCGAACCCCATCTAGGTACCATCCAGTACACGTATAAAAGGAAGAAATGTATATATATTTATCACTCAGACTATCCCGTAATATGTTGATTGTTTGTGATGTGTGTCTATGTATATATGATGTGTCTATGTATATATGATGTGTGTCTATGTATATATGATGTGTGTATGTATATATATGAACACGATGTACACAACGGGGTGAGAACAGCTTGAGCCACCTCATCCCTTTGTGTGTGTATTTATATCTCAATAAACTTATTGAATTTGAATCCAGGATGCCACCGTTTGGCGACTTGATCACCGGCGACGCTCCTTCAAGCAGAGGTCGGGGCTGCTCGCCCTCACGCTTGTGCCATACTCCATAGCAACAAGCAGCATCACCTCCTGCCCACCTGGTTGACTGGGAAAGGAAGACAGGGAAGTGAAAACCCTAATGTCATGTCTGTCGCAAGAAACACTCACGGAGCGCTACGCTTTCACTCTACCGAGTGCTTCGAGAATTGCGTTCAGGGCGTCTCATGCGTTGGTGAAGAAACAGAACGATATAGATGGATCTAAACACGAGAAACAAAAATTTGATTGACGATAAATTCAAAGTTACCTGGTTGGTGCATGGACACCAGTGGTGAAGGACGTAATAGGTGGCCCTTGTTTGGCTCCAAACACCACAATCAACACAACTACTACAACCACAATAACCACCATAGCAACTACAATCTCCACAAGCTCCCTCCCTCTAAGACAGCAAACCTTCGAAAGTAATCTCTTTATGGTCGCCCTCGGTAGATCTTGAGACGTTCCTCTGGGTTACAAGACATGTGACATCTAGTTCTCCAGCCTGGAGGAGGTCCCGCCAGGACCTATCGGTACACCAAGGTATTCCCATAGACTCTAGTGCAAATGTAAAGATTCCTTTTGGGTATTATCCCTCCCTCATACACACACGCGCTGGAGAGAGAGAGACTTTTATAGACTCAGATGATTCTCAATCACAGTATAAGCTCAATCATTTGAAGGTCAGAACCATTTATTCTCATCTTGAATAATAGCACGTATTTACCAGTCATAAATTTCTGTGAATCCCCAGCAATCCGTCAAGAAGACGAGGCGTTTTCCCACACGTAAAGATAGAAGCGTGAGACCCTCCTCTTGACAACACATTCGGCTCCTTACAAAAACAAATGAAGATACAAGACAAAGATGGGTAAAATTCACATAAAATCTAATAGGAAAGACGGATTTCGAAGCTGTTTAGCTGTAGGTAGTTAAGCTATCATGTCGAAACTTCACTTCTCTGGGCCGGTTCCTGTCGACTAGATCGTATCTAATGACGACTTCCTCAATACGAGGGTAATTAAACGGTCAAATCTCCCGTGGACTGGCTGAGTGTTGTTTCGCTTGACAGGCAGACCATCTTTGGCTTCCTCTGGTTGTGTTTACTGCGGTAGATTTGATGTCATATAAACGGACTTAACTTAGGTTGGCTTGCCTGTGTCTAGGCGCTACAAGAAGTGGGACCTAGTATATAGACACAACTATTCCTGTTGTTTGTGATGTGTGTCTATGTATGTATTAACACGATGTACTGAACGGGGTGAGAATAGCTTGAGCTACCTCATCCCTTTGTGTGTATTTTACCTCAATAAACTTATTTCAATCTCAATTTCACTGTTCCTGTGTCGGCTAATCTGATCTCAGTCCTGGTTAATAAGGGGGTCCTGGTGAAATCCCATGATCAGTGCACCACATCGAGTCTAGCTCCGTTTAATCGTGAACTTCATTCCATTTCACCAATCCTTATATACAAAATTTTCCTCAATTTATATAATTAATATAAAACAAAGTGCTTGCCTTTAGACCTCTGACGACGGGGAATTGTTTCGAGTTTCCAGGACAGGCGTCACACCCAAGAGCAGACGTGTCTTGAAGAATTCGTAAACAACAGAGTATCTTTAGAACATCTTATTTGTGACAGTCCCCGACACCGTCACTCTTCTATTAAATAGGACGGTTAGCGGCAATAGTTGAAGGAGGCCAGCAGCTGTGATCTCATCAGCATTTTCAATCAGATTAGACTCGATTACCTCCCTCAGAACGCTCATACACTCAACACGACGGTCAGTGTGGGCAGGGTCCTGGGTGTCCTTGTTTCTGAGTCCTGGGTGTCCTTGTTTCTGAGTCCTGGGTGTCATTGTTTCTGAGTCCTGTGTGTCCTTTCTGAGTCCTGGGTGTCCTTGTTTCTGAGTCCTGGGTGTCCTTTCTGAGTCCTGGGTGTCCTTGTTTCTGAGTCCTGGGTGTCATTGTTTCTGAGTCCTGTGTGTCCTTTCTGAGTCCTGGGTGTCCTTGTTTCTGAGTCCTGGGTGTCCTTTTTCTGAGTCCTGGGTGTCATTGTTTCTGAGTCCTGTGTGTCCTTGCTTCATCATTCTGGGCGTCGTTGTGTCTGTGTCGTGTGAGTCGTCCTCGCTGTGTTGTGTCGTTATCGGAGCGCCGTCGGGGGCGGAGGGAGCGGGGTAAGGATCATCGACCTGACGAGCGTTGGGGGAGGAGGAGGAGGTGGGTTCTTCACGGGCCGCTGGGTCCTGTTGACCGGCTGGGTAGTGGTCCCTGCAAGACGGGCGGTGGGCGGCGCAGGTCGCTCCGGGGACCTGTTCTGCCTGCCTGCCTGCCTGCTTGCCAGCCTGCCTGTTCGCTTGCTTGCTTGTCAGCCTGCCTGTCCTGTTGTTTGTCAGCTTGCTTGACTCACGCAACCTACCGGGTTAAGCCACTGCCGGGCTTAATTTGGGCTGGTGTGGTAACGCCATTCAAGTGTTGCATCGGCTCCTTTATCCTGCCCTATCATGAGGCGGGTCGTGGCTCTGCCCCTACAAGGCAGGTGGCGGCTCTGCGCCCCTATGAGGCAGGTCGTGGCTCTGCGCCCCTACGAGGCAGGTGGCGGCTCTGCGCCCTTATGAGGCGGGTCGTGGCTCTGTACCCCTACGAGGCAGGTCGCGGCTCTGCGCCCCTACGAGGCAGGTCGCGGCTCTGCGCCCCTACGAGGCAGGTCGTGGCTCTGCGCCCCTACGAGGCAGGTCGCGGCTCTGCACCCCTACGAGGCGGGTCGCGGCTCTGCACCCCTACGAGGCAGGTCGCGGCTCTGCGCCCCTACGAGGCAGGTCGCGGCTCTGCGCCCCTACGAGGCAGGTCGCGGCTCTGCGCCCCTACGAGGCAGGTCGCGGCTCTGCGCCCCTACGAGGGAGGTGTTAGGCCCCCAACACGCACATCTATAAAATAAAAGAACGTGAACACCGCCACGGTCTCACCCGGACCGTTATCAAGCAGCCTAAGTTTCACTCACGTTATTGTTAATGTCTACAAAATATTGTTGTTTCTTACGATTATAACAATAATGTAGAGAAACATTCTACCAACATTGTGACATTGTGAACATCTTCGCTACATTAGTAGCGAAGTAGCATTAGTAGATCTGCTACTTCTTGGCCTCTCTCTCCGTCCTCTTGACAGACCTCTTCCCCGCGCTCCTGCTACTTCATTGTAGGTTTACTTGTTTACTCTTCGCCTCACTGAGCAGAAACAAGAGCAGTAACAAGGACAGCAACAACACATGCCACGGCAGCAGGAGACGGCGGGCCAGGGAGTCTAGGAGAGTATATAGTCTTAATCAGAGGGAGGAATACAGCACGCGCCAGACAGGTGAGGCCCGCGTCACGCGCCTCACATCTTGGCCTACTCTCGCTTCCTTCCTCGCCTCACACCTGCCCTATTTCCGCTTCCTCGCCTCACATCTGGCTTCCTTCTCTTCCTTCCTCGCCTCACACCTGGCTTCCTTCTCTTCCTTCCTCGCCTCACACCTGGCTTACTCCTGCTTCCTCGCCTTACACCTGGCTTTCTTCCTCCCCTCACACCTGGCTTACTCCTGCTTCCTCGCCTTAAACCTGGCTTCCTTCCTCCCCTCACACCTGGCTTACTCCTGCTTCCTCGCCTCACACCTGGCTTCCTTCTCTCCCTCCCTCGCCTCACTCCTGACTTCCTCCTCTTCCTTCCTCGCCTCACACCTGGCCTACTCCTGCTTCCTTCTCTTCCCTCCTCACCATCCTCGTCAGCTGAACGTAACCCTTCACATCACCACCATCTACCACCACTACCATCACCTCCCACCACCATCCACACTACCAACTACCACTATCGTCACCCCCCTTCCGCATAATAAAAGTGAATCATTGTAATTCCTCTAACAACAGATGGGAGGGAGAAGGTATCAAACCAGTTCTCTACAAGACACCAAACACTAGGCAGAGTGCTGAAGGAGGCAAGACTAATACTGGAAAGATGACTGAAATGAAACAGAATGAAAGAAGAAGTAAAATAAGAAGAATTTTTTTTTAAGAATTTGATGATAAAATAAAAAATAAAAAGCCTTCAAAGACAGATTAGGACGTGAAAAAAACATGAAATGTTCGCGCGTCTTAAATCAGAGGCTTGTCTACCTTGAGTTCGCATTTAGAAATAAGCAATGTAACCACTGCATGCCCTTGGAAACGTAGTTGGAGGCGTGCGTGTAATACAAGACCCAACTCTTAATATTCAAGCCACGATGGCTTAAGAGAACCATGCCTCTTGGATATTAATCAATATTTACAAAGCCACATACAAAAGGGCCCCTGACACCTCAAGGGAAGCGATGAAAGTGAACGAGAGAAGGGGAACTCACACATTAATATTGTCTCATAATTAAAGTATCTCACTATTGCAAGGAAAGTTAATAATAACAATTATAAATAACTCTTGTTTTTTAAGATGATTTGTTTCTTCTTTGGGTCATGGTGGTGCCAAGAAGTCAATTGCCGTCAAGTTGTACGGCTGGCAGCTCGGCGGCTGCACTAAGCAAGGAGAGTGAGTAACTTTGCGGGGAGTTCGCTACTCAGTGTCTAGGCGGGACGGGCTGTGTGCGGGTGAAGGAGTGCCTGCGCTCTGCTTCCCTTCCCATTTGATTCAGAGCGCCAACATTTTGATATAACACTGGCAATATACGTGCGGGGATTATTATTAATCCAGAAGTGTGCGGGAATACTATATCGGAACTGGACGGAGTTGTGACCAAATCTGGATTAAAAAGTGAACACTAAATGCATTTGCAATGTATTCAACATGATCCCGTCGAGTTACTGTAAGTTGCAACGTTGCTCCCTAAGTTTTCCTCCTCGTGTTATTTTAGGCTGGTTAAGTTTCTGAGGGTTCTCGACTTGATTTGTTGATGCAAGCTCTTCTTTAGGGGTCCAGACTTCGTGACTGCAAGAGTTGCGAGTCTTGCAAGAGTGCGAGTGGCCTTGTGACTTGCAGTGGTTTGCATCTTCAAGTATCCTGTTCCAGCCTTTCCAGTGTTATTGCACATGTGCACTTGTAATACTCCTCTCTTTCTGCTCCTAGCTCATGTTCCTGCAATAAATCCGCTATTATGTGCGAGAGAGAGAGAGAGAGAGAGAGAGAGAGAGAGAGAGAGAGAGAGAGAGAGAGAGAGAGAGAGAGAGAGATAGAGATAGAGATAGAGAGAGAGAGAGAGAGAGATAGAGATAGAGATAGAGAGAGAGAGAGAGAGAGAGAGAGATAGAGATAGAGATAGAGAGAGAGATAGAGATAGAGATAGAGATAGAGATAGAGAGAGAGAGAGAAGATTAAGCCACCCAAAAGGTGGCATGGGCATGAATAGCCCATAAGTGGTGGCCCTTTTGAGCCATTTCCAGTATCAATAGATGATCTTGAGGTTATCTTGAGATGATTTCGGGGCTTTTTAGTGTCCCCGCGGCCCGGTCCTCGACCAGACCTCCACCCCCAGGAAGCAGCCCGTGACAGCTGACTAACTCCCAGGTACCTATTTTACTGCTAGGTAACAGGGGCATTCAGGGTGAAAGAAACTTTGCCCATTTGTTTCTGCCTCGTGCGGGAATCGAACCCGCGCCACAGAATTACGAGTCCTGCGCGCTATCCACCAGGCTACGAGGCCCCGATACTGGAGATCTGTGGAGGTGCGACTGCACCCTGCGTGACGGGAGATGTCTCCCGTGTATTATGTGCAATCCACGGGACTTTATATCTCATCATTAACTGTTATCCCAACATATCAAACAGCTATCGCATATATTGTAATATCTCTCGTAATAAACAAGGAAGGAAGGAATTATCAGAGGAGGGGGAACGCGCCAAGCCATTACGACTATATAGCACTTGGAAGGAGTCAGGATAAGGATTTGGGATGGGACGGGGGGGAAGGAATAGTGCCCAACCACTTGGACGGTCGGGGATTGAACGCCGACCTGCATGAAACATGATCGTCGCTCTACCGTCCAGCCCAAGGAGCTGGGGTCGTAATAAACAAGCTTTATAAAACACGCGTTCATTATTGCAATTTACCAGAATTCTTACCGTGATGCACAGCATTTAACACGGTAAGTGTGTCGCCTTGACTCAATGGTATATATCTCAGTTTCTTTTTCTCTCCTTGATTTCTACCTCCACTCGTGACGTGTTCCTTAGACGCCTGGCTTCCTTGATGGGATGCTGCGGTCAGCTTTGGTCGAGATAACCCACAGTTTGTAAACACTCAAAAGGGGACAAATCCACAAGGGCCGTGACGAGGATTCGAACCTACGTCCGGGAGCATCCCAGACACTGCCTTAATCGACTGAGCTAGACAGGGTACTCAAAAGGGAGTGTTTATAAAACATTGCATTTAAAAGTTTTGTGTACGTTAATAGAAATTATTGGCAGTGGACTCTTATAATGCAGGCATAACTGATGAAGATTATGCAGGCCTACACTGGTCTAGATTATGCAGGCCTACACTGGTCTAGATTATGCAGGCCTACACTGGTCTAGATTATGCAGGCCTACACTGGTCTAGATTATGCAGGCCTACTCTCATTTAACGATATCAAAACAGCTAAGCATTAAGCTTAGATAACGATATTCTAGACAATGCTATATATTAAATTTGGTATAAATAACTATGTCCCTTGATAATACGTGCTAATACTGGTAGATATATCGAAAGCTTAAATGTTCATCCACGTGGTATAGTCGATACAGCTACGGTCTCGCTTCTTGCAGGTCTGCGTTCGATACCAGATGCTCCAAGTGGTTGGACATCATTCATCCTGGCTTTCGTCTTCATATCCTATACAAGTCATACTATCTTTACGCTTTATCCTAATTCCTTAGAGAGTTTAGACCATAACAATTATCTTATTACACAATTAAGTGAAAATGTCGGCTAACTGCTCTTCTGTGATTAATCTGAACAATTAGAACTTGTTTACACAATATAAGTAAAGGCTAGGATACGCCCTTCAATTAGGCCTCATCTCTGAGGTTTGATAATTTCAGCCTCATTTGACGTTTATCAACTCCGTACAAAATTAATCGGGTTCCCAGAAATGTTTGAACATAGATAATTTACGTAATGCGTCAATATTACGGTGCTTGACTTCTTACTAAAGCCTAACAATTTTGACGGTTGTCTTGACTGCGTTCATAGTGAGGTGTATTAGGTTAGAAGATTATTGTTGTGTTATTAAACTGCCTCCACCCTGATGGACTAAGCTGCCTCTTGAAATAAGCTGCCTCAACTCTTGGACTAAGCAGCCACCATTTACAAGAATTAAGTTGCTTTCCCCTCTCCAGGAATAAGTTGCATCAACTGTCCAGGATTAAGCTGTCTTCACTTCCAAGAACTTTGTTGCCTTAGCTTTCAAGGACTAACCAAAACTACTTGAGCTCAAGTGCCTCAAACTGACTTTTGTAATGCTAAGTTACCTCAACTTTTAGTGAAGAAATTAACTTATTATTTATATGAAATATGGGATTTACTCTGGATAATTAGGCTACACATCTCTCCAGTACATAGGTACTCTTTTTCTGAAGCATTAAGCAATATTCTGCAGCAGCTATCACTTTCACTCTCAAACACGAGACTAGTACCACTCTCTTAGTACTAAGCTTTCACTCTCAAACATGAGAATACAGCTTGGTCAGTCAGCTCTGTTTTTACTTGTTTACGTTGTTGGCCTTCAACCTTGACACACACACACACACACTATATATTATATATTTATATAAATATAATATATATATATATTTATACCATGTCATAACACATGTTCTGATAAAGTATTTGCATTCTGGGGCTCCCAACACTTAAATAGCTCAACATTTTTTTTTGGGGGGAGGGCCCCAGTACAGGTCGGTGTCCATGGCCAAAATTGTGGGAAACGTGGGATTCTATACCATAGGCAACGAAACTTATGGGTGATTGGTAGGCAGGTGGTTGGGGTTGGTCCCCATGCCCTCCTTTATATACGTCAGTGAAGGGAAGACAAGCAACAGTCTTTAGTTATCAACTGCTGTAGATTATCTCTCGTCGCAGATTTGCTTATTTGTTCAGCTTAAGTCATAAAACTAAGGTTCGTTTCATTATTGGGTTGTGTTGCCCAAAGGAGAATGGTCTAGGGCGGACCGAAACGTCGTCGTCCCTTCACCTTCTAGTGTGTGGTCTGGCTACATTTTGTCTTTTAGTTTATATGAGATCTGAACTATATGGCAAGGGGCTACGATCAAAACGTATCTAGTTATAGGCATAAATGTGATCTTAATTCTATATAATGCTCGGGTTAAAATAGGTAACCAATTACAGAGGGGGTTCCGTATTAGGCTCAGATAAGCTACCAGAACCTCGCCTAATACATTACAACCTTACTCGTGGACTAGGCTGCGTCATCCAGTTCAGTTATAACAATCACACTAAGTGCAGCCTTCCTTTTACAACCTGTCCTTAACGTAATTAAACTGAACCAACAGTATCCTAGCGCCGGAAATTCTGAGATTACGCAGATGCAAGTTATAATTTTTCCTCTAATACTAAAGAATTACGTAGTTCTAAAGGTTACATGAACTGCGCGATGCTTCTTGGTTAGGCTAAGGGGCTAATGCATGTAATAATGCACGCAAGTTAGACCCGTGAGAACAAGAACTTACTCATAACCCGGCTTGTGAGAACAAACGAGATTCTGAGTAAGTATGAGTGGGTGGGTTCCATGAAGCGAGGGTCGGGGTGCTACCATGAAACTATTCACCAATGGTTGTGAGTCAGCGAACCAGTCAGAAGCCTGGGGGTTGAGGCACTGCTTCCCAAGTCAGGCTTCATGGTAGTTAGGCCAGGAATTTATCTGAGGTTAAAGCTTCCTGCCGCCACAGCCTCGGGATGAAATGTGTGGGGAGGCAGATGATTGATTGATAAAGATTAAGCTACCCAAAAGGTGACACGGGCATGAATAGCCCGTAAGTGGTGGCCCTTTTGAGCCATAAAACTCTTTTGAGCCAGTATCAATAGCTGATACTGGAGATCTGTGGAGGTGCGACTGCACCCTGCGTGACGGGAGATGTCTCCCGTTGGGGAGGCATGATGTTCTCTCAACATATAGGCCTATATATGTATATGTGTTAGCTTATCATATAATTTGTTTTACGTGCACTATAATTAACGTATACTTCTTCTGCCAATGATATTTTTGCGCAGAACAAACTATTTACCAACACCACCAGCTCACCTAAGCAGTATGTTAATACAGAGAAAATATGATAAAATTATTATTCAACCCACTTTAACCAGTTATTGTAATTTAATACAGTATGATTTAATTTAGTTTTTCTTTATTAAATAGTATTCAATATTTAATTAAATACTTTTTTTGCCGAAAAAAATGTTGACCCAAAGAAAGGGTGTCCCAATTATAAATACTATACCACCGATTTGGTTTAAACAAAAGGTATTAATGCGTTTTTTATTTCTTAGGGAATGCTTTTTTCCCAAGTGAATGTATGTCTGTAGGACCAGATTATCATGCAAATTGCGACAGCACAAACGCGACGGAAGTAATGCAGTCTCCGTGGTGTAGTGGTAAGACACTCGCCTGGCGTTCCGCGAGCGCTATGTCATGGGTTCGTATCCTGGCCGGGGAGGATTTACTGGGCGCAATTCCTTAACTGTAGCCTCTGTTTAACGCAACAGTAAAATGTGTACTTGGATGAAAAAACGATTCTTCGCGGCAGGGGATCGTATTCCAGGGACCTGCCCGAAACGCTACGCGTACTAGTGGCTGTACAAGAATGTAACAA